CAAGCAATAAGCTCAATACTAAAGCGAGCGAAGTTCAACGACTCTCCTTCTTCCTACCTTATATCATTTAGCCTAGTGATAGGAGCTTAGCAAAGTCGGCTCCCAGTGAAAGCACCGAGAAAGGCTTGCTTTGTCTGTAGCCTGCTTCAAATTGATCCCATAGCGAGCTTGATATACTACCTCTTCGTCGAACCACATAACATTTAGTGGAATGCTCGACATTTATTGCTTAGATCAGGATCGCCTTCTTCAGCTTCATCGATATATATAGTTACTCAGATAATAAGTAGGATCACCATGCCATTGTAATTTTCACTTTTGGTTTGATAAAGTTGTCAAGAATGGAGATTTCCCTAATTTCCTTTAAGAAGGGTAAGATGTCGTCGTCGTCCAATTCGTAAGAATATTAAGCCTTCTTCATATTCCTCGTGATGGTGGGATGGAGTAAGAAGCCCCAATCAAACCTTCCACCTTCCATCCATCAGATGGAAGACGAAGATGATACCTTTCTTCATAAGAGCTTACCTTTGTTGCCAGCCTATCAATTGCGATTGGTAATCCCACATTCGGTGCTCTTTGCATTTGCTTCTAGATCTTCCTAGATTTCAAGATCCAAGCCACGATTTGCAGGATTCGTTTTCAGCTAATAACAAATTTAAGCATGCAATTATGTTTTGGAAGGTACGAGCGATGTAGTCCTTAATGTATTGACAAGGTGCTTCATCGAAAAACCACGTGTTAATGCATTTTCAAATGGCTTCCTCAATCGCCTCTTCGAATTGGCATCACTATTATCATAATTTTCACTTGAGACTTCCATTTCAGCTTTCAATGTCTCCACCTCAAACGGACTTACTGCCCATTGAATTATTTTTAGACAGTTTTGCAATGTCTTTTTATCCAATAGTGGTTGAAATTGTGGTTTTATACGGTTCCAGAATTCCTACAAACGCATCAATTTGTTGACATCTAAATTAAGATTAACATATTTCTCTCACATAAGTCAGGGTTTTCCCTCCTGAACTCACTAAATTTTGGTTCCAAAGGAGAGTTATGAGATAAATGGATATCTTTCTTTATTCTCAACTAAGTCTGTTTATAATTTTCTAATGAGGTCATTGGGTAATTAAGTCCTTTAGGTAAGTGACATATGACAGTGATTGATTAGTGAGTTTTGATTGAAACTATTATCTTTTATATTTTCTTCACCGTGTCATGTTTTCTTTTTTCGTTGCCTATGAAATCATATTAAACAGACTTTACATTCTTGTTTACATGTGATTCAATGACAATATTTGCTAATGTGAAAGAATTCAAGAATGTATTTATTCACTTAGCAAGTTTTACCTTCCCGAGCCTCGTATGCTCGTTGTTTATCTTTGAGACCAAATATAAAACCTCACATTGTCATTCTCACTAACCCTATTTTGAGTTCGCAATATAATCTTATTGTTTTTAACTTTAAAAGCTGCTACATGTTAGCAATGTATGTTCGCATATAATAAACTCAAGATAATGTCGATCAACTTTCTCGCCACTAATCATTTGATAACAGTTTGTTATTTCAGTTAAGAGAAATTTTTTTCTGCTAGTTATTTATAACAATATACTTGTAATTTTCAACAGAAAAATGTTTTTCTTAATCATTATCCAAAATGTAGTATGTGAATTTAAAATTTGTACAATAGGGTGTGTGTGTATATATATATATATATACACACACACCTTTTCGAAAAGATCTTTCCAAGATGAGCCTAGCAAGGCTTGTATTGGGGAGGGGTAATAAAGCCAGTCCTGAGGCAAGGCAAATGAGGCCCTTGCCTCAAGCTCAAGACCATAAGGGGCCTCATTTTAGCCCAGATTTTTATTTTATTTTTTTCAAAACAAGGCCCAAAAGTCTAGATTCAATGATGTGGAATTTGATGTAAATTTATTAAAGACAAGATTTTAAATGGTTAAATTTGGGGTTTATTTTTTTGAAAATGGTGTGGGATTTGATGAATTTTATAAATGGGTATCTATAAATATTCATGTTGTTGTCTTATTTTTGTACAAAAACTCTGTGAAGATAGATATTTATGTGATTGTATTTTCTAAATCGATGTCGTTGTCTTATTTTTGTACAAAAACTTTGCGAAGATATTACTACATTTTACAATTCTTTCATTCTAGATCTATTTTAAAAGGCACAGAAAACCGTATTATATATATATGTATATTTTTGTCTAATTTTAGTTGATAATAAATCTTTAGTCAATTATGCCGATTTCTTAATCGGCACTTCCACACTTGGCACGAGTTCCTTCACTCTATGATTAAATCTTTAGTTTTGTTATTTTATAGTATAAATCTTTTCTATAATATATTTGGTTGTTATTTAAATTTTAATTTTAAGTTAGCAATATATTGCATAATACATTGTTGAATTTTACGTTTACGTTGATTTCACCAGGACCTAATTTGTGAAATTCGCCTTGGGCCCTCACAATCGCAAAACCGGCCCAATAACCTGCTGCCTTTTCACTAGTTTCCTAGGAAATGAAAAGGAGAAAACTTCCATAACTACAAATGGTTATGTAAGAAGTAGTTGAAAGGAAAGGAAAACATTTATGGTGCATTTGATTGCAATCATGGAATTTATATGAAATGAAAATAAATTCTAAATAATTCTATTGCCTAAAACTTATTTTGCGTGAAAATTGTCAATTAAATTTGTTTAATTGATTTAATTTTCAATATAGAAAATATCATACTTGTCAATTTTTTATTAATGGATAGATGAAAGAGAGAAAGAAAGAAAGAGTGAATTCCCTAATAAAATAAAATTCTATTTATCCTAAAGAAAATATTTTTCTTAATTTTAAGAAAAATATGGTCACGTGACCAAAAGTAGGAAAATATTTTCCATGAAAAAAATATCAATCAAACAGCACAAAGTAGAAATTTGTGTGAAAAAATACATTTTTCATGAAAAATATTTAAAATCAAACGTATCCTTAAAAATCTTTTTCAAGTTAATTAAAACGCGTTATGTCTGTAGTCCATTCAATTCTATTACTCAATTTAGATCGCATAGAATTCCTCTTCTTTCGGTTAACTCCAATAAAAAACCGTGTTCAATTGAAAATCCATCCATTCATCTTTCCCCTCTTCCATATTTCCATTGACATCCCAAAAAAGAAAATTTCGTCGAAATCCCTTCCCATTACAGACAGATATTGTTGAAGAAAATGTCATTTTACGGTTCAAAGAGTAATGTTGACCTCGAGGCAGGCAATGGCCAACTCTACCCGGGCATGCAAGAAAATCCACAATTGCGATGGGCTTTCATCCGCAAAGTTTATTCCATCCTTTGCATACAGTTGCTTATAACTTTTGGGGTTTCTCTTGGCATGTTTTTCATCCCTCCGGTTCGAGAATTTTTGCGTTCAACAAATGGCCTTTACACCATGATCGCTCTCATTGTTGTTACCTTCGTACGTAAGTAAATTTTTTATTTTTCTTGAGTGATATGTGAATGACACCAAATTTCTCAATAGTTTTCTCGATTTGTGTTTCATTTATTTTCTTTCTTGTCAATTTCAGATTTAATATAAATAATATTATGTATATATGTTATTGTAGGGTTACTATAATATGTGCAAAAAAAAAAAAGGGGGAAATTTTGTATATTTTCCTGTATTTGTGCATTCATATGCGTTTTTTGGCTAATTGGGATCGGGCAATTATTTTACTCATCGCTAACTTAAGTGCAAAATATGTCTTAACGTCATTTTGCACGTGAAAGTGTATTTTGTACAAGAAAGGGGCGGATGATTGTATATTAAATAGGCACATATCGAATCTTATTTGATCTAAGTCTAATAATCATGTATTTTTGCATCTTCTTGAATAGGCCACTATGGTTTTTAGCACTTTGCCTTGATAGTATTCTCAATTTTTGCTTAATAGCATGTTCTTGTGGATTTTGGAATTCATGATAGTGATTTGTCGATAGTGATCTGTCGAAATAGAATAAATCAGTATTTCGAATACTAAATCATATACATGCAACACACGTATTCCTTTGTACTTTGAGGTTGTAATAGGGGCGGAGCCAGCACTCGACGAGCCCTTGCTATCGTCCATGCTAGCTCCGTCGAAAATTTTTTATCCTTACATTTGTTGGCCGCCTCACATAGATTTTTGGATCCGCCACTGATTTGGAATGTAATTAATAAAATACTCAATAGGAAGGGTTGGTACGTGATCACACTATACAGAAACGTGTTTCTCGTTTAGTATTTGATAACTCGAACAATTTTGTACACGAATGCTACTATGCCCTTTTTTAGCCTTGATGAGTTTATTGAGTTGTTCGTCTGTGCAGTGTGCATATTAATGCATTGCGTTAGCAAGCGTCATCCATGGAACTATGTTGTGATGTTTCTCTTCACCTTTGCAATGGCATTTATGATTGGAGCAGTTTGCAATCAGAAGAAAGGTAAGAATGAATGAATATAATCATATACATACTGAACCAAGACTGTGGTAGTGTTGGAGGCTTGTTTGATTGAGCACTAATTTTGAGATGGAAGTGGCCCTCCCCTATGTTGCTTGGAACCCAAACCAACATAGAGTATTTGGTTCTATTTGGTATGAATTTTAAAAAAGTCAAAAAGAAATTTTGAAATTTAAAAGTTATTTTTGTGCCCGTTTGACTAATTTTATAAAGTGCTTCTTCTAATTAGAATAACTTTTTGAGGTTGTAGGTCCAATATAGCTTTTTATAAAAGCACTTTTGAAATAAGAAGTTTTTTTAAAAAAGTAATTTCCAAACAAAAGTTAAAGTAGATTCTTTCAAAAGCTCTTCGACGAGAAGTAAAAGCGAAGACAAAACAAAAACAAAACTCATGCCATATGGCCCTTTATTTATATAATAATCACATTTTTCTAACAAACTCTCTCCCTCTTGGCCAGACTATTAGCAGCTTCCACGAGCATCTCCAACCACATCCCCATTGCCCCATAATTCACCAAATTACACCAAATTTTTTGTGCAAATCTCCATCAACCAATTGCACCATTTTACACTAAAATGATTAAATACCATTTGATCCTTCTCTTATGCTTTGCACCAATTTTTCTTAAGAGTATATTTGTCCATTTGTTAGACAATAAGCATTTATAAGAAATCATTTAATCAATGATAATAAATCATGAATACTACTTTTACTTTTTAACATCATATGATATTGCGATTCAAAACTTATCACTCTTTTTTAGTATTATGATTTAATATCTTCTTAGTTGTTGTATTTCTATTAATTGCACTACATTTTTTTTTTAATTTATTAATTAATTCAATATTTTTGTTAACTAAACATAATTATTTATTTAATAATTTATATAGTAATAAAATAAATAAAGAAATTGTTTTAGAATTAAAAAAATGAAGAAAATTATTAAACATTATTCATTTGGTGAAACTTTTTATGTAATGGATTGGAGATGATTTTTAATTTAGTACGGATTTGATACAAAATAGTGCAAATTTTGGTGTAAGATTGAAGATGAGCTTAGGGAAACAATTTAATTTAATTTTTTTTCTTTAGCTGTAGCCTCTGATTATTGATGGATTGGCAGGTGAAACTGTCTTGATGGCTGCTGGTCTAACACTTCTTGTCACTGTTGGCCTCACTGTCTACACATTCTGGGGTGCAAAGAGAGGCCAAGACTTCAGTTTTCTTGGCCCATTTTTACTTTGTGCATTGCTCTTGCTCTTGGCATTTACTCTTATTCGGGTGGGTATTCCTTTTTTCTTATTATCTCAATATTTGTTTTTTTTTGTTTTGCAAAATCTAAATTTGTGAAAAAAAATAAAAACACAGATCCTCTTTCCTATGGGAAGATTGGGAGAGCTGGTGATAGGTTGCATTGGAGCACTCGTGTTCTCGGGTTTTATCGTATACGATACAAACAATCTGATCAGGCGATTCAACTATGATGAGTATATCGAAGCAGCATGTAATCTCTTCCTCGACGTATTAAACCTCTTCATGTATATTCTCATGATTCTGAATGGTGATGAATAGGAGATCTCACACCAGTTAAAAGTACTTAATATCCTATACTTGCACTTAATGTATGTTGGCTACTGATTAGATGTATGGAAGGAACTTTTGTTTATAATGCTTTTACTATTGTGTTACAGCACGAGAATGTGACTTCAAACTTTTGAATTAAAAAGTTTTCGATGGATACTCAATTATTGGCTAATAGGGGAAAAAGGCAAAGCAAAAGAACTAATCCAAAGAAATTTATTACATAAAGTGGTAATTACAGATGAAGACAAAGCAAGTTTACACTTAATTAGAAACCTTAATCTAATAATATCCGACAAACAACATTTCAAGAAAAGCAGCCAATATATTCCAATGGGAATTCCCACATTCTTTTTGACCAAACCTAACTCCAAGATCCTCCTTTTCTGTAAAAGAACAAAAGAGTTGGGTTCACATGGCTTTCTTGCTTTTCCTACACTTTAATTCACATAAATCACGACACCAAAATTACATTCATAGAAGTGAATTTGGATAAACTTTTACTTCAATTTTCCTCTTTATATTAACAAAACACAAGAACGAACAAACCCCAACCCATATTTTAAAATAATAAGGTTAGTCCAGATATTTTGGTAAAATTGATAATCTAACAGTAGCTGTCGAGAGGAAATTCAGGTTCGATATCTGCTGTGTTTCTCTGCAGCAATAGCAAGAAGCCTTGAGACACCTTGAGTCCAAATATCGTATTCCCTCTGGTTTTTGCACTCGAATTCAACAACCCCCCGTGCCACAGTCTTCAATGCGAAATATCGTCTATCTTCACCACCCTCGAGCAAGTGGCGGCCCGGCCATGCCGGAATGTCCTTCAACACCTCCAGCACTACATCTGAAAATTCAAAAGCAAAAGATAAAGATAAAGATGCATACTTTAGCACTTTTTCAGATCCCCAAATAGAAGTCCCACCACCTCCAATTCTGATCTCATCATCAGAGATTGAGATATACAAGCAAAAACAACTTACTCTTTTTCTTTTTAGTGACAGTCCCAGCAACATGTTTGCTCTTCATCTTCAGCATAACCTAAGCCGAAAACAAAGGAATAATAAGTTGTAGATGGAAAGAAGAAAGTAAAAAAGCAGAGTCATATTGTTTCTATCATTCAGGACTTTTAACTTTTCCTCTTTGATTGCAGTTTCCATACAGTTGATTAGATATTATTGAGATCAGAGTATCAAAGTGAGTGCGATAATGCATCAAAGATGGTTAATTATTCGACCATAAAGAAGTAAGGCCTACCTCACCCGTCTTGTTGATGTAAACTGACACGATTTTCCAGTGAAGATCACCTGCATTTGTACGGATATAAAACTTTGAGCAGCTTACAAATGAATGGGAATTAGAAGTTACAAATATTATAATTGAAACAATTTAAGAAAAAATCTTCACGAGATTGAAATGTTTCTTGACGAAGAATAATGATTTTAGGATATAATTGTTGAGTATTTATACAATTACAAATAATATTTAACTGGGAAACTTGCAATAGGATGAGTTACCATTGCGCGTTCGCTTCAGGAGCTCTGAACCTCTGGCAAGCAATTCTCTACTACAAATTCCGAGGAAATTATCTTCGGGAACAAGCTCGCCACTAAAACTACTATTTGAGCTTCCATTACTGCCCCCATTACCACTGGTACTAGCTCCCATCCCTTTATCAACAGGGATCACGGCTGCAATATTCCACACTTCCTTCAATGCCCTTGCCCTTAATGTGGCTGCACCACGCAGCGCTACAGAATAAAACTTGATTAGAGAAATTGTGAAAATCAACAAACCACACGAAACATACCAATATCATCAATCTGGAAATACATTAACAATTTCACCACGTCAAAACTATCAGCAGCAATTTCCAGATAGATTATAGATTAACAAGGAACTCGATTCGCCCAATGCCCAATAAAAATCCAATAGAGCATACCAGTAGCAGCAGCAGCTGTTAAGGTCATGATATCGCCTGCTGACCGCACATTGACAGCCGAGCTAACAACTGAAGCCAAGTGTTCGCGTTCCGCTCCCATTGACTCAGCCGCTTCAACACATTGTGCTGCAACCAATGTCGCAGCAGAAGCCACAGCCATGTCGGTTTTAGCCATCTGCTCATCCTTTCCTACCCCAGACGATGCAGCAGTGGCAGCAGCTATGGCAGCAATAGCAGCAGCAACCCCCGAGACAGAAATGGCAGCATGGAGCTGAGCATTCTGTGCTCTACTCTCCTCTTTCTTTTTCTCTCTCCTGTCCTTCAACCACCTTCCAACCGTCTTTCCACCGCCAACCATGGTGGTACCACTAGCGGCACTTCCACGATAATGGTTATTTATTGGGTTCAGTCGACAGTACTGCAAACACAATTCATCTTCAGCATTTATACTAATATAATAACACGGCGGATAGGGAGTCGATGCTATGCAAATCGATCATGTAAAAACCAGTCGTGATCGCAAAACATGCAACGAAATAAATCTGAAAACACACTTATAGACCACAAATGAACCACATATCTAGTGATTCAATTAATGTGACCCATTTTCACCCACCCACCCAACAAGTATATTGGACCAGTTTCTCTAGAAACGTGTTATATTAGGACCATATTCTCAGAGAAGGATGAAAGAACACTTTAACTCCAGGGTACCCCAACAGTCATACTATACTCCCCATTCTGATAGGCAATTGAAAGGACAAACATGTAATTCCAAAACAATCTCATTCTTTATAAGATGTAAAGAAAAGACAAAAAGGGTCAGTAAATCTGCAGTTATTCTGTACTAAAAGAACAATATTTTTTTTTCCCCCACTATTCAAATCTTGATATAAATTTAGAGTAAAAAGGAAAATCACACAAGAAACTCAATATGAATGAAGCTATTTTAACAAGCACTTAGTATGTTGTTGGTTAAAGAGAGCTAATATTATGCCTCTCAGTGGCATCAGAACTCGAGGTTTGCAAACACGGTACAGCTCGACAATATAATAAACAAAAATTTGAACTTGTTGAAAGTAAATTAGACCTTGAGGTCATCCAATTCAGGGGGAGAGACAGGAGGGCTGTCGGTGAGAGATCCACACCCATTAAGAGGTCCACTGCTGTGGGATAGTCTTCCAGAAGTGCGTGGTGATACCTCCTGCTGTGCATTTGGTACACAACCCATATCAGCACATAAATTTTTACATATTCAAATCTCGTAAAGAATTGAATCTTGAAAAAAAAATATAAATATAAATATTTAGAGAGAGAACAGATGGAAGGAATGATTGTTAGTGAACTAGGATTAAAATAATTCAGTGAATGAATCTTGATATGAGTATTCATTAAACAAAAAGAACCCAGAGAGCAATAGTGCTGTCTTTTAGAATTCTTAATTATTCATATTGTTTTCTCGAAGAAACATATTACTTGCACAAGTGTTTCAGAAATAGCTCACAGCTCCAAGAAACTCTTGGTTTTCCCGTAAAACGCCATAAATAATCACTTTTTTACTGACACCGTAAACACACACACACACGAATTGAGGAAAATAAGCAAGAATGAAGAGATCAACATAAGTTGAAAGCAACTTATAATTTTTAAGAATAAAGAGCAAAACAGGCCAAGATATTGTAATTATCTAATCACAATAAATTCCAAAACAGATGAGAATAAGTTAAAATTAGTGAAAACAATTCCACACTGGGAAAGAAGAAAATGGGATATGGACAAAAAGAAGGCATTTGATGGTCAATTGGTTTTCAACTTGAGCATATGCTTACAGATTGAGACATAATGCGTTCCATGACAAACTGCGAAGTTTCAGAAGAAGCAAAGGAAAAAGGGTTGCCGGAAACAGCAGCCTCCAACTCTCCGGAGACATCTTCTTGAATGGTTTCACGGCCGCAGCCAGGTGGAGGAGCGCCGTCGTTTGTGGGATTCTTGGGTACTAGCTGCAGTGGTGGAGCAATAGCTTTAGAGATTTCATGAGCTGAAATACTCCATGAACGGGATAAGAACTCCATTGGCTCTCTTGGAGTCTCCGGCGGCCGGAACATCGACTGCAGTTTAGCACGTTCCATTTCTTTGGTTGAGTGGAAGTGTGAAAGATGATCGAGTGGGTGTGGATTACGAAGGTTTATTGGGGCGAGTTGGTTCTTTATACAGAGGAAATTCAGCGTGTTCGTGCGTGTTTGTTTGTGCGTGAGAGAGAGAGAGGGGTCAGCATTGTCTACCAAAGGCTTTTTTTGTACAGAATATATATATATAAGATTAACCCAAAGTGAAAATATAATATTCATCCTTCCACTTATAGCATCTTCAATGATAACATAAAATAGGATTTAAATTTTTAAAGTGGTGGAAAACTCTTCAATGGAAGATATAAATTATATTTTTTGGTTGAAAATATAAAAAGAAATGTAAATTATTCATAAGAGGAAAAAAAATGAATTTAAATCTTCCTATTAGAGCAAAATTTGAATTTAAATTCACTGATATATAAATGATGTAAAAGTGATTTTAAAAATATCAATTTATATCCAATTGTACACTACTATTAGAGATGCTCTTAGTATTTTGTCTGGTTCGCATAGTTGAAAGTGTTGTGTGAGGATCAAACTTTTACTAAAATTTGAATTGTTCGATAGTTGTTTAAATTGTAAAATAAGTTGATCAAATCAACTTTTTATCCATACATTTCGTAGTTAACACAACTATTATTCACTTATCTACCGTTCATATCGATTGATTTATAATTGAAACAACTGATAAATAATATTCAAACAAGCTTAATGTTTTAATTAAATCGTTGAACTTCAATCTATTTATAATATCTTCACTTCTTTTGTCATTATATATATATATATATATATATTCATTTATTACTGTATGATCCCTAACCCAATCCAACCCAACTCATGAAGCATGGATCGGTACCTCTGATCAACTCCTTTTAGCTTTGAGCATTTGAATGTGTTGGAGGAGGTGTTTAACAGCCAATCACAAATTAGGATTTTGAAATTTAACGATGCCCTTTAACATGCGAAAAAAGGGGTCAATTGCTATCTTCGATTACTTAGCCATCATTTAATCGAACTGAATAAATGTGAAAATAGGTGGAGTTCGAGTGATAATCTTTTTATATTCAAATTTTCCCTATGTTTGCTTAGTTATAGCTATAAATGCTTTCAATTAAAAAATTGAAACAATTTTTTGTAATTTACTTTTGTATGATTAGAGTTATATATAAGTAGTTTAAAATGTAGGTTACACATTTCTCGTGGATATGACACTGGATTCACGTTCACTATTATTAACTATCTTTTATATCATGTATTTGTAATTTAAGTGAACGCCCGCTGCTCAAGTCTCACGCCCTCTATGAAAATGATGGTTTTGATTCTTACTAGACTTTAGCGTTAGGCGATTATCCTTAATTTTGATTCTCTGAAGTAACGCGATTGATCCACCCTATCTAATTTAATTTTCCAAGTTCGATGAGCTCGAACGAAGTGTGGAAGAGAATGTGCCAATTTGGAACGCTGAAATGGTCAGTTGGAGGATGTGGCAATCTGTGATTTAGGAGGTGTCGACACGATTTTCACTTTGAACCGAAGTCGAGTGGTTGGGGCCTAGCAAGGGTGGCAACGATGGTTTATGACATGGTGATTGCTAATCATGGTAGGTCTCTGTTTTTGTTGTTTTCTCATTTTCATTTTGGTTTATATCCTTTCCCTTATCTTTTATCCTGAACTTGTTTTAAATGAAATATATTGATGGACATATAGATGGATACCATCCAGTACACAGGGCTCCACATGTACGGAAACACAATGTTTGAGAACTCATGTGCCTTAAAAATTAAATAGGACTCATACTGCTATAATTTTGTAAAGTTTGAGGGTTTTGATTAATTTCCCTTCAAAGCACATGCATTCTGAAAGCGTCTTCATGGTGCTCTAAACGAAATTTAAAATTATGATATCAATTCTTGAAGTGGTTGAAAATCTTTTCAATGGAGAGATGCATAGAGCATTTTTCGACAGAAAGTGTAAAAAATAAATCTTTTTTAGATCTACTGGTTGAATCCACAGTAGATAAAAAAGTTACCTATTGTAAATGGTAAATTTATTAGAGTTTGTTAATGAATAACAATTTAAAAAAGCCCTAGATATTATTATCATTGTATCCCTAATTCTTACCTATAAATATAGAATTTTGGTCATTAATAAAATACACACAAATCTATTGACGTATTTCTATTCTCTTCTCTTTCCTTCTCTTTTTACAATACGTTATTAGTACAATTATCTTAGAAGTTAATCGAATGGCAAACATTACAAAACTTGAGTTTGCTACATTTGACATATCTGGCAAAAACTACCTATCATAGGTATTTGATACTGGTATCCATATTATTTCAAAAAGTTTGGGAGAGACAATGAAATAAGGAAACAAAAAATCCCAACACGATCGTGCAAAAGCACTTATCTTCCCTTGCCATCATCTTCACGATAGATTGAAAATTGAGTATTTCACTGAAAAGATTCATAGATTCTTTAGAAAAATTAACTAAAAGATTTGACCATCAGAAAACTATAGTCCTCCGCTATGAGTAGATCGCCTTCGTTTGCAAGACTTTAAAGCTGTTAGTGAGTACAATTTTAAAATGTTCAGAATGTGTTCAAAATTTACTTTGTGTGGAGAAAAAATCACAGATGAAGATATATTGGAGAAAACGTTTTCCACCTTTTACGCTTCAAATGTACTACTACAATAGCAATATCGTGATCGTGGTTTCAAAAAGTACTCAAAACTTCTTGCCTGCTTGTTACTGAATAGAATAATGAACTGCTGATAAAAAATCATGGGTTACATCCAACTCGTTCTGTACCATTACCCGAAGCAAATGGTACTGCACTGCATGAAGCAAAAGTAATATCAAGACAAAGAGGTGGATGTGGAATGGATTTGGACATGGATGCAGACATATATGTAGAATAAATTATGGACGAAATAATCAACAAAATTATCAACAACAAAGCAACAATTTCAAAAGGTATAGAGCAAATGAAAGCAGCATATCAAAAAAGGTACACAAAAGTTGTTTTAGATGCGGAATGGAAGGACATTGGACACGTACATGTCGTAAGGCAAAATATCTTGTAGATCTCTACCAAAAATAATTAAGAAAAAGGGAAAAGTGGAGACAAATTTTGCTGATTATGATGGTCTAATTGATATGACTCATTTGGATGTCTCCGATTTCTTTGTTGACCCAAATGAAAATATTGACCATTTGATTGGAGATTCATGATAGGTTGTTAAGACACCTGTTTGATTAATAGTACAACTATCTATACTATTCTTTAAAACAAAGATTATTTTTTGCATTTAACATTAGAAGAAAATAATGTCAATACAATACCAGGTGCATCGAATATCGTTGAAAGCTCAAAGAGCTTGTATTATTTTACTAAATAATGCAAAATTATATATTGATGATGCACTTTATTCTAGAAATTCTAGAAGAATTTTGCTTAGTTTTAAAAATATCTGTTTTAATAGATATCATATCGAGACGACACAATAAAATAATGTCGAATACTTTTGCATAATTTCTTTGTATATGGTCAGAAGCAAATGAAAGAAAAATTTCATGTACTTCCATTTGATATGTATTATACATTTATAAAAATGTTTGAATCAAATAATGTCACGAACCAGAAGTTCGTTGTCTTAAAAAGTTTTATACTTAGCATGACTGACTTGGACGTCAGGGAGTTATAATGATGCATCGAATAATAAATAACTCACATGGATATTTGTTGAAAGAACCAGAAGATTCTTTTACTTAATGATTATCCATGTGTAGCTTATTCGCATGGCAAATTAGTCATTAAACCTTCGACAACAAAGGTCAAATTGAATCTCCAACTTTTTTGGAAAGAATTCATGGAGAAGTATATGGGCCAATATACCCACCGTGTAGACCATTTCGTTATTTTATAATATTAATTTATTATTCTATTAGATCGTCACATTTTTTCCTACTTTTCCACTAAGAATGTAATCTTTGTTAGTATACTTGCTCAAATTATAAAATTACGAGCGCAATTTTTCGATTACTCAATTAAGACTGTTCACCTTGAAAGTGTTGGTGAATTTAGATCACAAACATTTGATGCTTATTATAAGTCAACCAGGATTTTAATCGAACATTCAGTTGCACACGTTCATGCGCAAAATGGTTTAACGAAATTGTTTATTAGACGTCTACAACTCATTGTTAGATCATTATTTACGAAAGCAAAACTCCCTTTTTCTATTTGGGATTATGTCATATTGCATACATGTTGCATCATTGGTTCATATTACACCAATTACATATTATTAATATTCACCTTCATAACTTGCATTTGGTCATGAAATTGATATTTCTCACCTACAGATATTTGGTTGTACTGTCCAAGGCCCTATTTCACCCCACAACTTACTAAAATGGGTTTTCAAGAGAGACTTAGAATTTATATTGGTTTTGATTTACCATCAATTATTAGGTATCTTGAACCTTTAACATGTAATTTATGTACTACATGTTTTATGGATTGTCATTTTTATGAAATGATTTTCCCAACTTTGAGAGGAGAAAAATTACATCCTGAAAAAAAAAGTAAAATACTTGGAATGAAACAATTCTATTTCACTTTGATCTCCTCAGCAATCAATGTGAGCAACAGGTAAAAAAATCATTCATTTACAAAGAGTTACAAATCAATTACCAGATGTATTTGTTGGTACGAGAAAAATGACAAAGTCATATATACCAGCAAAAAATATTTCAATAAAAATTAATGTCCCTGAATGACAATCTACTATGACAAATAAATCTCAAATACGTTAGAAGCGTGATCGATCAATTTGTTTGAAAGACTCTGTACCTCAAAAAGAAACGTACAAGAGAAAAATCAACCAAAAACTTCAATAGAAAGAACATTAGAAAAAATTGATCAATCAAATATTGAAAATATAATTCTTAAAGAACCACAAGTGTTCGTAAATAATGAGATTTCAATAAATTATATGTTATCTCATAAATTATGAGAATGGAATAATATTGTTATAGATAATATTTTTGCCTTTGATATGGCTTTTGATATTATGCAAAATGAAGATCTTGAATCACGGTGAGTTAAAGACTGTCAAAATAGAAATGATTTACCAAAATGGAAAGAAGTCATACGGGCAAAATTGAA